GAAGTGCTGGGATTACAGGCGTGAGCCACCGCGCCCGGCCTGCTTTTTTGTTTTTAAATACATAAGATTATTATGAGATAGTCTTAATGCTCAATAACTATGAGAGCATCACCTCATTTTCACACATCCCTTAATTTAGAGTAATTGAATGTTTAACTTTGAAATATCTGGAATTAATGATCAACAGTTAATGAGGATGCTATAATAAATGTTCTTTATCATTTTAGAAAATTATGAAGAGGCCTAATTATTCATCTGCTTAAACATCATTGATTAACAAATTATTTAGATTTTTCTTAAGTCATTACATTATACCAGGATCTTCATGTATGTAATAATATATATATATTGAATAAACAAAGAGAAAATCAGAAGTTAGTATAATAAGTAGGCACACATGTCATATATGGATTTTTAATAGGAATACTCATCACGGGAATAATATGGACATACTCCAGGAATGGCAAGAAATTCAGTTTAGCTTTGTGAAACTAAGACCACAAAAGCTTAAAAACAAACAAACACTGAGCTTATTAACTTGCCAGTACACCAGTGAAGACTCCACTGAATGATCTGTGGAAGGGGCTTTTAATTGTTTTATAATAGCTATACTTATAAGAATTAAAAATTGATCACATTGTATAGGACAGAGTGAGTCCATAGGTCTGTACATGATTGATTCAAACAAGTCCCAGTTTTTAGTGGTCAAGAAAGTGTCTTCAGTTAAGTGTAGCAATAGTCTGATATACTGAGGTCACTCAAAGTTCATGGTCAATTATCCACTTAAGCTGATTAGAACCAGTTTTGACAAAATCAACATTCACTTTTGATATGATCTATAGGCAAATGTTTCTGTAAATAGAAGATATTCCTTATGCAGCTTGAATTGATGGATAGAATTTGGATTGTCACAACCAGAGTGGGGAAGCATTTTTGCTTCTACTCTTTAATCAGATTTATACTATGCTTTTCTTTAAAAGATTTCAAAACACTCATTTATATAGGAAAACTGTTTTATTAGTTAGCTTTTGCTGCATAACAAAATACTCCAAAACTTCATGGATTAAAGCAATAGCATTTATTTGTCCATGATTTTGTAGATTGGTAACTTTGGGCTGGGGTCACGGCTCATCTCTGTTCCACATGGTATCAGTTGGACTCACTCATGCAATGCAGTAAGATGAAACCTTTCAACGATACCCCCTTTACTCTCAGAATAACAACCAAAAGTGATGGTCTTAATTACTTTTGTAACGGTTGTCAGGCTCTTTGCAAAAGCAATGTAGGTAACTGGATCATCATCCAGCAGGCGAACCTATGCTCATTTCCAAGATGGTATTATAGTGGAAGGACTCCCAAGTTCAGTAAAAGAGGGCAAGCCCCAGTGTTCAAGCACTTTTCAACTTTCTGCTTACATTTGGTTTTCTGATGTCCATTGACCAAATCATGTCACATGGCCAGAGGCAGATACAAGGAGTACAGGAATAGACTCCACCTCTTCATGGGAGGAGCTACAAAGTTATGTTGCATACATACAGACATTCAAAAAGGAATGGGAAGAATTTATGACTATTTTTGCAATTTTCCATACTGTGGTTTTTCTTCCCTTCCAGTCCCCTTATACTTAGAATGAATCTGCTTATAGGCTATGTCTACCCTGTACTGCCCAAATTAAGAGTTTTGGATGCTTTAGAATTCTCTGGATTAATGTAAACATCTTCATGAGATAATGCAGGCTATAGAAGACAAATTTTATTCATTCCCTGAATGAGTGACACAATCAATTTAAAATCCATTTGGATTATATTTTGAGTCTCGTGTACAATGGCCCAGAAGCACAAAACTAGATTTTGTTTCTAAATATGGACATCAATAAATGGGAGGAAATGATGTCTGAGTTGAGACCTAAAGCCTGTGGAGGACCTAGGCAGGCAAAGAGAGGGAGAAAGATATTTCAAGCAGATGGGAAAATGATAGAAAACCAATTTTGCGAATTCATTTTTATGTCACATGGGAACCTGGAGGCACTCAGTACTTACTATAAAATATCGTTTATCTCTCTGTTCTGCCATTGGACCCTAAGCTTTATAATGGCAGAATCCATAGTAGGTGCTGAATAAATATTTATGTAACAAATGAGTGAGTGATTGGCTTAGTGAGTGAGTGCATGAATGAATAATGCAAAATAGCTGGGTGAAAACACAGATACAGAAGAGAGAGCTACAGAGGAATGAAGACAGAAATTGAGAAGAATCCTAGCTAGAGATGACGGAGAGAGAAAAAAGCAGCAGAGGATGAAACAGATAAATAGCAGAAGGGGAGACAAGCAGAAGAGACTGGGAGCTCTGAGAGCTAAGTGGTAATCAGAGATCTGGCTGGTTAGCAACTGCATCAGAGAAATTTAGCACTCCTTTAAAATACTTGTTAAGGCTAGGTGCGGTGGCTCACGCCTGTAATCCCAACACTTTGGAAGGTCAGGGTGGGCAGATCATGAGGTCAGGAGTTCGGGACCAGCCTGGCCAACATGGTCAAAGCCCTTCTCTACTAAAAATACAAAAAATTAGCCAGGCGTGGTGGCAGGTGTCTGTAGTCCCACCTCCTGGGGAGACTGAGGCAGGAGAATCACTTGAAACTGGAAGGCAGAGGTTGCAGTGAGGCAAGATCACGCCACTGCACTCTAGCCTGGGCAACAAGAGTGAAACTCCGTTTCAAAAAAACTAAAAATAAATAAAAATTTAAAAAATACTTACTAATCCTCCAGCAGTTCAGACACAGCCCCTTCTGTACTATTAAACTGCCTGTCTGCTTTAATTTTCAAACTTCAAAGTTCATTTTTGAATGCTTGTATTTCTAGAGAATTTTGAAGACCTTATATGGACATAAGGTAATGACTTAGATTTTTAGTAGTCTTTGTGTTATCAGAGGTATCCAATCGACCAGTTCCCACTGAAAATATTTTTGCATTTTAAAATATGTCAGATCGCCTTAGTCTTTCTTCTATGAAAGATGAAGACTTAGGCCGGGCGCGGTGGCTCAAGCCTGTAATCCCAGCACTTTGGGAGGCCGAGGCGGGTGGATCACGAGGTCAAGAGAT